GTACAAACCATTTGGATCAAACGTTCGTCATGTGACACCAATATCACACCAGCCTGCAACAATAAAATATTGATTAAATTACGCACAATCGCAAATATGTGAAATGAAGGATTTTGAAATTGAGTCTATTAACAATCGTCATAAAAAACAGTAATACTTACTTGGCAACTGTTGAGAGCTTTACCCAACGCTTCGATCGATTCAATATCGAGATGATTCGTAGGTTCATCAAGCACTAGGAAATTTGGCATTGCGGCACACATCAAAGCAAATGCTACCCTCGACTTCTGTCCTCCCGAAAGAGAACTTATAACTTGTAGAGCTAAATTACCGCTTACACCGAAACTACCAAGCATTCGCCTATATTCTTCAATTGGTTTACCTGCCAGAACAAACACAGTGATAAGTGTCTTAAATGGGCTTAGCGTTTGTTTTACATTGCGAATATTATGCATACCAGGAAAATGCATTTGTAGCAATTCGACGGGACAAACACGCATGTCCAGTTGATCGACGTGGTGCTGACTAAAATATCCAAATTTCAGATTTCGATGAACGTGCACCGTACCCCGTGTCGGACTCAACGTGCCCGTAATAATTTTCAAGAGAGTAGTTTTTCCAGCACCGTTTTCTCCAACGATACAAATACGCGATTGCAAACCAGCAGTAAGATTCACATTGCTAAATACCACGTCGGTTCCGTTGTAACTGTACGAGACTTCGTTGAGTTGCAATATCGGCGGACTTAGCGGTTCAACGTCGGGGAAATTGAGGGTCACTTCACTCTCCTTTTCCATTGGCTTTAAATCAGGTCTGTCGAATAACGGACAAGAAAAAATGTAAAGTAAATTTCAATCGTAGACTAACGAATTATTACCCATGTGATCAAATCAGACTTACAATTTCTCTAACATCTTTATCTTGCTTTGTACACTAGACGCGCGATTCGCATTGTATCTAAATTTGTCGATAAATTCTTGTACATGCGCTCTCTTCGCCTGTTGAGCTTCGTATTCTCGTTGTTGATTTCTTTCGCGTTCGCCTTTCGTTTTCACAAATTGTTCATAATTGCCACGGTACGGTTCTATTTTCTGTCCACGTAAGTACAAAATATCGGTTGGTACCTGTTGAAGAGGTAAAGATAAGTGTGTATATTTATAGTGAAAAAATTGTTCAATATATAAATTAACTTTTAAAATATAATTTGAAAATGAAGATTAATCTCACCGACAACATGGGGTCTTTAAACTATTGATATTTGTCAACCAATTTTTTCTACCAGAATTCTGGTAGATGATTAAATGTATAAAAAATAAGTAAAATATAATTCGACTTTTATAATGTAAAGCTTGTTAAAAATTTAACAAATGTACTATTTCTCGAAGAGAAATCCTTATTGTTGATCGAAGAGTCTTTTAAAATTCTATGTTGCTAGGAGAGTTATTACATTATTAACATATCTCTCTTAACTAAATACGTCGTACTTACAGTGTCTAAAAATTTTCGGTCGTGCGACACTACGAGTAACGTTTTCGGCCACGTTTGTAGATACCTTTCTAACCATAATATTGCTTTGATATCGAGCATGTTCGTCGGTTCGTCAAGTAGCAACAGGTCTGGCTTGGAGAATAGTGCTCTCGCGAGAGCGAGTCTCATCCGCCAGCCGCCAGAAAATGATTTGGTCGGCCAGGACTGCCTTTCAACGGAAAATCCGAGTCCCGATAGGATCGCACTTGCTCTAGCGGGCGCCTTGTCGACTTCGGCTAACTGCATCGCCTCATATACCCGGGCCAATTCCTCGCCTAACGCATCGCCCGTCTTAGAACCATCCTTTTCTATTGCTGCTTGCAGTTTCGCCTCCTGACTGAGTAACGTGCTCCGTTCCTGATCGCATTCCAGAACGGACTCGAGCGCTGACGTTTCGTCGCCGGCTACTTCCTGCTCAACGTGCAACACTCGCACGTGCGATGGTATTCTCAGCTGTTTGCTAAAATCAATCGAGATTGATTTACGATAATCAGAGATATCATTTCCCAGAAAATAAGCTGAAATTACTTGATATTAAAATGACATTTTTAACATATTTAACGTTTTTAATGTATTTGACATCTGCTTGTTTGCTGGGAAACGACTAATAATGACATCACCATAATACCTCGATATCATTCGAAGCAAGGTGGTTTTGCCGAGTCCGTTTCTACCAATTAGACCGTATCGTCTGCCAAATGCAAGCGTCAAGTCAGCACCTTGCAACAAGACTCTATCGCCGTAAGCGACATCAAAGTTCTCTATTCTAATATCCTGGGTTTTGTTCACCCCACCTTTCGTCTCCATCCGACTATCTTTCTTACTTGTCATTTGACTGGCACTGGCAGCGCTTTCAGCCGCGTTATTGGCAATGTTAATACGGGAAGCCGATCCTTGCTCATTTACGATTCGTTTTTCCTGTTTCTGTTGCAACTTGGCCTCGGCTTTCTCCAGCTTCTTAGCGTCTACTTTCTGTCGCAATAACGAGCAAGATTAACATACAAACAATGCCTGGGAATAATTAATCCTCCGTTTGCAATCATATTTTATTCCCTTTGTCTAGCTCAAGTTCTTTTAGTATTCTAAAAATTTTCAAATAATACTTTTGAAAAATCGGAAAAATTCAGGTTGACTTTTTAATATTTTTATTACATTACCAAGTAGTTTTTTAACAAGATATTTTTGGAAAGAACTCTGCCTCTCTTTATTTTGGAGAACTTTGAGAAGAGAAATTTCTTGTGCCAAAAGAAAGATTGCAGACGGAATTAAATGTGAAACTAATGGGTAACACAAGTTGACACAAGTGATGTCATCTTTGTTACTTGCTGAATATTAAAGACAGAGTGACAGTGTTGATTTGTGTCACTAAATAGAAAGCATTCAATAATATACAAATAGTTAAAAATATCATAAAAGATAAGAACAATTGCAAGTAGCATTAATTACATTTCTTATTTGTAATAAACAAAGTACAACTATACATTACCATTACATCGTCCCTAGTTGTAACCCATATACTCTTAATCTGCTCGACTTGCGTTTCTAAGGTAGCAGCCAACGAGCCCAGGTGCACCGGAGCATTTAATACTTTGTTAACACCGTTTTTTCTCTTGTCTATGTCGTTGTCATTGTTCGAACTACCTTTCAATATTTCTAATAGCTTCATACATATTTGCCTGTATACAGAAAACAATACAATAAATCAATCTGCTACCAAGAAGGCAAGAAGTAATGAATCTACTAATTTACTAATACAAATTTACTAATACAACGAGTGGGAAGAAAACATGATCAGACTTTAGAATACAAGAAAAAGAGCCGTTTTGTTAGCTAACATTAATTATAGTGAGTTTGGTCTATCGCGCTACATTGAATTAGAATATTAAAGACTGCTTTATAGAAAGTATCTAAAAGATGTGCGAATTAAGATTTTTTGAAATCTAATCAAACACTAAATAAAACTTATAATTAATTATTATCATTAGATTAAACGTTAATATATAGATAATAAAACGATGTCTATGTAAGAAAATAATTATATAATGAAAAATCATTTTTACTATTCAAATCATACTTGATTCAATTCAATTAGTATTCGATAAGTTTGCACACATCTTCAGTATCTCAAGTATCACATAAGGTCTTCCATTAAGAAATTTTATTTTAAATTAATAAAAAAACAAATAAGTTTTTGAAAACAATTGAGATATTTATTCTAATCCAAAGTAGAAAAATTGTGCGATTAAACGTGGAATACAATATCAGCCAAAAATGGCTGCTTCAACTTTTCTTACAAATAGTCATTCCTTTGAGGAAATTTTCCATCACGTTTTCGCACAATTGCGGCTCAATTTCGCCAACACTTCGAATATTGTCTTTGAGCGCCTGAATCATTTGCAGAGCATTTGTGTAAATTTTATCCTTTACACAACCCCAAAGGAACAAATTCAGAGATATCAAATCGCACGATCTGGATAACCAGTTAAAGTCTTCATTATGCGAAATGACACATTCAAGGAATTTCTCCAAGAAATTTTCACTATATTTATAGTGAGTTTTCATTATTTCTATGCGTTGTTCAAGCGAATATCGATCCAATGTTATTAACCACATAGTAGTTTCTACTTGACACTGTCAAATATGACTTCCATCTATAACAGGTACAAAATGTCGCAAAATTTGAAATGAAACCTCCTAGTGGAAGACCCTGTATCTGTAGTGGCATAATTTAATCTTTGACAATGAAATGTTGATAATTAAATAGTGAAATTGATGTTGAATAATTTGATATCATTATTGGATATTCAATTGTTAAAAATACTTGTATGCTTTTACAATTTAATTACGCTAGTTCCATGTATGTACAGTAGTTTTCAATTGCACTAATCCTAATGTAACGCAAATGACCGAATAAATAGAAAATGACAAATGCGAACACATTACAGACCTAACCTCGTTTTCTGATTTGTCCGCCACCTCGTGCAGCACCTGCCCGATCGCCTCGTACACCTCGTCGCCGTCCTCGAAGTCATCCTTGGAGCTATCTAAGATACCTGCATGCGGAAGGATACGCGTGTCAAGGCGGGGTTAATCGGATATCAAACCGTGGATCTGATCGCGCATAGGTTATTCTACGGCACGGGAACATACCTTGCACATACTGATACAGGTCGTCGTCTATCGTCGGGAACTGGCTGCGGATGTATTCGCTACAGGTCGCCATAGTACTCGTCGCTCTATTTCCGGAGGGTAAACGTTTCAAAAAAGGGGGAGAAAATTCCAAGAGACGGGAGAGCCACGTCAACGAGCACCAACGAGTCTCGCTCCCTTGACAGACGGCCGTGTGTCAAGTTAAGTCAAGCCTCCGTCGAGCTGCGTGAACACATGTTCGCCGCCATCTTGGAACTCGCTTCTGCACGCGGTGGCTCAAGAGCGCGTCAACCGCGCGACGTTCCGCATCGGGATCGCGAGTGGTCGTCCTCCGGACGGTCGCTTGCGACGCTTTCCGCGCGCAAATCGCGAATTTCTCCGGGCGTTCAGCGCCGCCTCCACGACTCGTCGCGTACGAATATTTTATATCCCCTCTGCGTTCAACTGATCGCGGCGGTGGGTCACCATCTTAGAGCTGTCATATTGCTGTCAAACACCGAGCCACTGCTGACGATCCCACGGAGTCGCGTCGTCCGGACTCCGACATTCCGCCTCGGCGCGAGGTACGCGATCCTCGGACATCCGCGATCGTCGTACGGCGCGTTGACGGGTGGACGCGACCCCGCGATCCTATAGGTCGACGACGGAAGTCACGGCGCCATTCGTGATTCCCGGACACGCGCCCCGCCAGCTTCTTTCTCGCTGTAAATAATCATCGTTGACGGGGGATCAGGTCAAGTTCTCGCGATCGTTTTTCCGATGCATCCTCGTTGAGGGTAACATTAAGAAGCGAAGGAGAGAGAGAGAGAGAGAGAGAGGAGGAGAGCAGGAGGAGAAGGAAAAGTCGTTGACGGGGCACGAACGCCCCGCCAGGAAGGGACGCCCTGGCGGAGACTCGGAACGGCGAGACGACTGACGTCGTGAAGTCGAATGTCGAGGGATTGCGAGCGAACATGGACGAGCACGAGATACTGCTTCTTCCGCCCTTCTCAGGTGCCAGCAGCAAGGAGCGCGCCAGGAAGAAGCTGTGGCGCAGCGCGGTAGAGATAGTGGCGAGCGACGACGAGGATTCGGATGCGGACGAGCACGAGTGCGCCTTCTTCCCGGCTAAGCGGCACTGCACGCAGTTGACCAAAACCACCGAGGCTTGTTCGGACACGGTAATTCGATTCCATTGATATTCTGGTTAAGTGAGGTAATTTACAAGCTTAATTGATAATTGCCCAAGTATTTGATTTGTTGACTTCTTCTTGTCAACAAACTGTATCTGTGACTTTACGATATTATTTCATTTATTTTCTTCTACCAATGTATTAATTAATTTTTTAATCTCGGTTTCATTTCCTTTTTATCTTCTTCTAATTCTGACAAACAAAATAAAGAGTAAATTATATAATCCAAATTAAAGCTAATCGTACGTTAATGGCCTTATACACTTTTCTACTAATGTATATAGATTAACTTTAATTTTGGTTCAACTTATTCTTTATCATTTTCTAATTTTGAGAACTAGAGAAAAAAATGAAAAAGAGTAAGAATTTTAAAAAATGTTATCATCATATTGGTTAGATTGAGAATTTAATAAATTCCATACACATTTTATGTTTATTATTATTATTGGTATTAGCATTGTATATTTGAAGAATAAGTTGAACTGAAATTGAAGTTAATTTATATATATTAGGTGTAGTAAAAAGAAATTCATTATTTTTCTATGAAATCTATTGGAAAAATAATGGATTTCTTTTTACTACACCTAATATTAGTGGAAACAGATAGTATAGATGTTTCATGTATAGTATAATATAATATAGTATATCACAAATTATGCTCTATTTACATAAGCAAATTAGCGCACACATTAAAATCGTTATACACAAATTGATGTAAAAATATAAAGATGTGTGCTTAATTTAAACATAGAAACAAGTTAAACCACAAAATTTTCAGTATACTTTTTTGGCTGTTAGCTAAAATATGTATTTTATTATTCGAAATACTTGCATTCACTTTTACGATTATTACAATAGTTTTAATATTCACCAATGTGCACTACCATCAATTGAATTTGCTATTATCGTGGCTACATTGCGATGTTTATGCCAATGCTGAAAATCTATGTGTATGCATCTACTTTATAGATTTTCAGTACTGTCAATAAATATCGAAACACAGCCTCTGAGAAATAGTTATTGATTGTATACAATGACCAAATTTACTATAAGAAACTATGATCGCAACTAGCAAAATGTTTATTCGGCAACTATTAAAAGTTTTCTTCGCAAGGGTACTATTTCTTCAGATTTAAAAGTACAATCCAATTAGCGCAAAGAAAAAACTTCTAACAATTGCAAAATAAACATTCTGCTAAACACAGCCAATTATTCCTCTAGGAACAGCACACAAGTGCAGAGACGCCAGCCAGCAGCGTGGGAAATCTCGATTACGACGAAATTATATACCAAATACAGATCGAGGAGAAGCTAAAGTTATGGCAGGCTTTCCAAGAGGAAGAGGGATCTATGGATAATACCATCAATGAAGTTTTAGCTTACTACAGAATGATGTATCCGTCTGATCCTCTGAACGAAGAGTCTGTCGGTTCCAGGTTACATATGTCATACAGAGGGAACGAGATGGAGGACACAGCGGTGACAATGGCGATCCGTAATCACGGCTTAGTCCAGTCGGCCGAGCTCCCTCTTCAGCCTCATTACTGTAAATGCATAGGTGTTGATTGTTCCTTTTCGTCCAAATGTATGTATGAACTCGAGGACTTCGCGGTCTACAGTAATGTAGAAACGGGGCGATGCAATGCGTTGGATGCGGATAAAGTGTACGAGTGTGATCAGCCGGAAGACTTCCTGGAGCGCGCCGTAGGTGAGGCGATCAAGAAGAAAGGTCTAAGCGCTCTGAGTGTGGATTACGGTTGAATACACTTCGTTAACGTCTGCTCTAATTCCTTTGATGTATTTATATATATATATATATATACATAGTAGCGTAATACGTCCCTAATTGTTGTGCTCTGTAAACCTATCGCGACTTCGTTTTTGATAGCTGATTTTTGTCGTACGACAGTTACAATGTGTTATCCTATGAACGATAATCTCGAAAATACTTTATACTTGAATATAATATACATATAAACATTCCGATGTAATGACTCGCTTACGACAAGACAAGTTTGAACTTTATTTTATTTAGTAATGTGAAGTAATTCCGACGTTATTATAGCGACTTTCCGTTTATTAATCCTCTCAATAGCCAGCCATATAGTATTAATATACTTCGTTAATTATATTTTCATACAGAATTATTGGTATGGAGATATAATTATTGTCTCTCAAAATATAAATATATACATGTTAAATCAAATTAGCTTTGTAAACGATATATACTTGAGAAGCAGCTATTTTGATTATAGTATAAAATTTGTTTTAATCAGAAACGCATACGTTTCCTCTTCTTTGCAGTTGACTTGTAACTCGCATCTCCCTGTAATATAATTCCTACCATTGCATTAATTATAACATATAAAGCTTACACATTTTTTTTTTATTAAATACGACGTATTTAATTGCAAAACAGACAGAAACAAAAAGAAATATTTTTTTAAGCGATGATCTCGGAGAGATTATCTGTTCAAAAACAACCATTCAAATTTCATTCAAAATGGTTCAAATTACGCGGTTTTTTTTTATCAATTAATTGGGTCGCGGATCAGCTGTTCGCGCGCAAAATTAAATTGCTTGTGATGTGGCAATATTTGCGTGATTGTTTTATTTATTATATGTTTTATATTTTTATAAGATTAACAAACAATTATTTGTAAACAAATGTTGATAAATCGTGGACAATCGAATCGTAATCTAGAGATAAACGCATTTACGAATGCCGTGATGAACTTTTTAAACTTTTCATCATTTTTGTTTATGATTTGTTTTCGCAAGATGGACAAAAAACAATTATATATAGGCATATGCATATACATGGTGGACAATTAAATTCTATACATAATATAAAAGAAAATGCACATAGGACTTACATTAGAATTTTTTATTTATAATATTTTTAGAGTGGACCAAACATTATTTTTTATGAATTAATGTGGACAAATTATGGACAATTGAATTGAAAATAAATTTTGCCAAAATTCGCATTTAGGGGTGCCTACTTCGCAGATGTCGAGTGACTTGACCGACGGAATCTTTCTAATGCTTGTTGCGCTGGTCTCTGCATGATGTCAGTAGGTGTAGCTCCAACTCGCCAAGTCCTTCATTGGAGACTGAACTGTTTGTGAGATAAAACATCGAAAAAACAGCTTTGCATACGTTGTAAAATTTTTTAATATGATCTCTCCCTAAGTTCCTCATTAGATCAGAATGTATAAACCAATCGTATACAAGAATTTTACGATAATTGGAAAGCTGCTTTTTCTGCTGAACGCAGCCATCCATAATCCGACATGCGCTATCTCAGGTATCCCGGCCTGCGTTCTACTTTGCGCTCGTAAAATCATTTTATCCTTGTTATTTACTACATGTTAAACAAGGATAAGTGATGCCCGCGAGGATTCTAATCTTTAAATGGAAAACGCACCCTTATAGCGAGCGAAGGAAAGAGAAAACGATGGAGAGAGAAGAGAAATAAGAAAACGAATGGCGCGAATTCTGTACGTGCTTCGCCGCTACCGAAATAATTTTTTTCACGGCTGGAGCTGGAAATAACTTCCATCGCGGTTGGCTAGGACTCGACGGAAGAGGATTACGAGGAGAGAGTGTTGTCAATTTAATGGAATTTCTACCGGATTCGAAGATTCTTTTCTTTTAACCGGGACATTTTTTGAAGGTATAAAGAGTTTCGGAGACAAGTTCCCGGGTAACTTTTGGAGAGGGAAATACAAAACTTTCAAATTACAGGTAAAATATTGAGAAAATCACGATATAAGGGATAAGTTTCAAACAGATTTGGCAACAGTGCTGGAGCCTGGAGGAGGCCCGAGCAGGAGATGGGCGACGGAAGGAAGGAAGGAGGGGGGGGGGGGGGGGGGAGAGAGAGAGGAACACCGAGAGTGAGGGAGGAAGAGAGAGAGAGAGAGAGAGAGTCCGCGACGGCGCGCCGACAAAGCCCGCGCGACGCTCGACGTGAGAGGGTACGGCGCGCGACGCCGAACGTCGCCGGCGCCGGCGGTGCGTTGCCACTCTCAGAGCAGCGTCGCGCGTAGCAGCAGCAGCTCCGCCGGGCGGTCCGTCCGGCTGGCCGGTCGGCCTCGTCGCGACCGAATCCGGTTACCACCCTGTCGCCACGCGCCGCATCGGAGAGAGCCCCACGTGAGTGCTGCATCCCGGAACTCGCATGTATACGCACACACCCGTTGCCCTCAGGCTCGCTCGCTGTCGTCTTCCTCGTCGAATCCTCGTAGCTATTTTTTTTTTGCCCTTTTTCTAGGCATTCTTTTTTTTTTTTTTTTTTTTTAAAGAATACGAGGATCGTTCTCTCTTCATTGAATGTTAATATAGGAATAAAATGACGTTTGTTTCGGGGTTGTGTCTCTCCTAAGAGGAAAGCAACCTTAAGCTCGTGTCACACTACGAATTGATAAACGAGGATTGTGAATTAAAGATTACTAATTTAGCTGATCAGAACGATAAAAAAGAAACGATTAAAATTAAAATTATTTGATTGATCGAATTCTAGGATCTAATTCGCGATCCTTAGTTTTTAAACTGACACGAGTTTAATAGCTGGTAGATTATCATCGTGAACAGTAAAGCGCGCCGGAGCGTAGCTGAGGGGAACGGATCTAGCATGCTATTTATTAATTTTTTTTTTGCATAAGTAAAGCATAGTTTTTTGCCCGGGAGTCGATTGTGTATCTTGAAACTTGTATAGGTGAAAAATTATAAAAATGAATAAATTCAGAATATTTATAATTTCACGATATATACACAATCGATCTTCTCTTTACATATAAATGAAGGCTGATGAAGGCGTTTAATTTTCTGCCATAGCTTCATGATATTTTTTTATTCTGTAATTGTCATAGAATTTCTATTTTCCTTTTTGCAAGGATTGAAATAACGCGTATACAAATTTTTTAATATCAATGCGGAACTCGGAAACTGAAAATATATTAAAATAAGAGGAAATGATAAACACACGCAAGCGTAAATACGGAGAATATTTTTGCTTTCTTGCGACTAAACGAGTCTCATTATCAGACTGCATTCAGTAGAAAAACGTAGTGAATATCAGACGCGGTGCCCGACCGATCCATCAGTCGATCGCGCTACTTTCCAAGCGATTTCGAGTCCGCACTATTAATCTTTCCGTCTGCATCTTCTTCAGCGCGAGCGAATTTCACACACACTCTAAAATTTCTCCGAAATAAAAGAGGATGAAGTCCGGTTCCATTATTATATATACTAATAGAAAATTATACATTTTTATAAATATAAATTCTCATTTTTCCTCAAGTCTGCTCAAATTTCAAGTCTTATTAAAGGTTTTAATATTGGAGTTGAGTTGGGGGAAAAATATGATTACAGACGAAAGGTTAAAATTTACCCAATTAAAAGCTTGTAATTACACGGTAAAGAACGATTTTGCTGAAGTATATAAAAATTTAATAGATATAAATTTGATAAGAATTTCATTGGATTAAAAAAAAAACTAATTACGTAGAAATATCTCAAGCGTAATGAGCAATACTACAAAAAGTTTTGACATTCTAGCAATTAATTTAAGAGTCCGGAATTATTTTAATGGCCTAACAAATTATTTTCAGATCTGTATCTAAATTTTTAGATTCTTTAGCAAAACCTTTTTCCGTGATAATATATATATATATATATACATAATGTGTTAGCTTGGAATTGAGTTCGACACGAAATTTAAGCTTCGGTTCGAAAATTCCATTTCTGAACGGATGATATGATTTCGATCTAAACGGATCATATGATGCTCACCCGCAATCGGATATTAATTTTAAGAACAAATTTTGCGATTCTGATTGAACGTAATTGGCATCAATGGAGTATTAATCAGTATATCTTGTTCGTGGAACTTGCTTCTGATTAATTCGTGGAACAAGTTTAATTTAATCGGAACTTTCATCGAATATGTAAGTTATAGAAATGCCGCTTTTGGAATGTATCTATCAGCTTACTATCAAACTTGAAATTTTATATATACATATATATATATATTATCGTACCGCGGATAGGGAGAAGAATATAAATTAGGTAAATAACCATTTGATAGAAGATTATCGATCACGAGAATTGCGCGCAACTAATGTAAACAAGAATCGGATATTGATTACGAGTTTACAGTCACGAGATTGCACCGACGAGGAATATCAATATTTGTTATTTACACGGAGCATTGTATTACCTCGAGTAAAGTGTAATCGAGTATGGAAATTGCTCGATTATCCGTAACGCGCTTTTAACAATTGCTAAATCGCTGTTTTATCTGTAAACAAGTATAATTACGAATACTTATATAGATAATGAAACAAAATATGCGTCTCGCTTTATATGCGTCTGGAGGAGAAAAATGGAGAAGAAAAATTTGTCGAACTCGTTATATTACCTCTTTTTAATGCTATTAGCTTCGTGTTAGTTTACATACGAAGAACGACGTCGTTCGTGCGGTCGCGTTATGCAAATAGTTTCGTATACATCACGCACAAATGCCAGGGAAATGTCGCATGGAAAACTATTAAGTCGGCATTACACACGATCCGCGTAACAAGAGACGGGGATTTATGGAGCTTTACAGTCACACGCTCTCGGAATGACACGGATGAAACGCATATCTGTAAAGAGTAACTCGTGTAGAAGTTTGATGCGGTAAGGACGACGTGTGTGGAAGTTCATATGAGACTCTTCGGGGAGATCTCGAAAGTTTCCGCGAAAGGAGCTGCTCGCAAGTCTCTTTTGATACCTTTAGAAGGAACTCCAGCTTATACTCAGGAATATGTATGTTTCCTTTCCCTTATTTATACGTGTATGTACTTCTGAGCACTCTAAATACACCAAAAGCGACATAACGAATTAATCCTTTTTGAGGACACTACGACATAAGCTCATCGCGTCGCAACCTTTTGGTAAATTCGTTACGACTTCTCAAGGGAATCTTCAATCCGATAATGTTATCAAGAATACGTAATTACCGGTCCAGCTCTCGTAGAAAGTTCTCTTTCTCTCGGACC